AAAAACAGTAAAATCGACCTTGCAAACTGTTTCATATATATATATATATATATATATATATATATATATATATATATATATATATATGTAAAGTTCATAAATGACAATATATATGCTCCCGGAAAATCCGGTTGAGCTCTCTTGAGAAAAGGCTGATTTTGAAGAATGAATTTAAAGCCAGATGGAGGCAGCATAAGTGCTCTTTCAACAATATAAATATAAGAAATCGGACTTCTCTATGTAAATATTTTTGGCATTTGAAGGAAATAAATAGGACACCTAAAGTAAAATGGAAAATTATAAACAGGACTAGAACTTGTAAAACTTGGGATGACACATGCCCTTTGTGCCTCCATGAGAAACTGCACATTATTAAGTTTCTAAATATGACATGAGTTAACGGTTTTTGCAGACATCATCAAATTTTTGCATTGAATAATTAGCTTAAAAACAAACATAAAATAATATTTATAATCCATAGCCCTAGTAAAAAAGATATCTATCTTTAAATTCATTCTTCGTGGACCCAATGTATATCTTATTAGTGCTATATTAGTGTTATTATATATATATATATATATATATATATATATATATATATATAGGGTGCATCGAAAATATGTTTACAAACTTTGAGGGCGGCGTCCTGACAACAAAACAAGGACAAAAGTTCATATAAACTTACACCTGCAAATCTTTCGTTTTTTAGTTTAAAGAAAGTTTACGGTAGATGACGCTGGGTTGCCATGTAGACTAGTCTACATTTGTCATTCGTGTACATTTATCTATCTTTAACATTTAACGTAGGCAGTAATGAATCAACTGAGAAGTGTTTTTTTAAACAATGGTAGGATATACATCATTGTTTTTAAATATTCCATATTGTCAGAAATAATATATTGCAGAAACCTTAAGAAGTTTAAATAAAAGATTAAACGAACATAAAAGAGACATTAAAAAAATACGAATCAGTCGCTCGTCATAACGAGTCTGACCACATAAAAAAAAAACGCTACTCTAATGAAAAGAGAAAATAATTTACTAAGACGAAAATATTTAGAAAATGCTTTAGTCACTAGTTCATCCACAGTAAAATTGCGTCCAGGTTTTTACTACGTTTTATTATTCTTTCCAGATTTTCTGCTAATGTTGGATATTTACTAACAAAGATGATGGGAAAATAAAAAGGATCTAAATGAAATTCGCAAGCGGTTCGTTTTATCTTCTACACAATTTTCTGTTTGAACTTGCTTCAAACCAGTCGAGAGCTGCCGTGCTTAAACAGAACGATTTCACATGCTTATTGGCAAAATGCGATGTACTGACATTAGCGCTAACAGGTGACTAGTTCGCTAATTACAAATACCGAGCAACCTCAGTGTGCGACAGTGTTACATCGGACAAAAAGGTCATAAACTCATTCTTGCCATTTTCATATTTAATGCTCGATTCAGTATAATATAATAACGGTTTGACCACTGATTCCCTGGAGCGGACTGGGGCGTTTGAATTTGGAAAAAGTTTAAAAACGGTGAAGTCATACTTGGCGTTAATCTTATATTTTCAAAGTCGAAATTGTTATCTATATCTTTAACAATATTTATATATGTTTATTATTTATTGGGACGACACATTTCGTAGCGTTTTTAAGTTAAATTCAAATGCAATATTTAGTTATTTTTCTAGAGATCTGTCTAACACCATATATGTAATTTTCTTCCAGTATCTTCTGCCATAATCGGGACATTTTTCATTCATCAGATACTGGAATGTTCTCGATGATGAGCTAGTCTAAGATGTTTTCACAGGCTTCCATAGAATTTAATTCTTTTCCTTAAGAAAATATTTAATATTTACCTGTACGATGACTGAAGTAACCGCTTGGGAATACTAGATGCTGTTAGTATGAATTTTCGGGTGGGGTAATGGACATTGGCTCGGAATTTTTAATCGGACAGTCGAGTTCCAATTCCCGTTGGGTTTGATGTGTGAACTTAGGTGCCAGTAACCTTGAGAAAGGTATGAATCAACTTCTATCCCCGACTATGGGTTAATTAGTTTATAAAATCCTTAATATCTTCAAAACCTCTTACAATGTAATAAATAATATATAGCTTTAAAATGACTTCAAAAGTTTGATAAGCCATGAAAACCAAAAGCCAAATGAAAACCAACAGATCTCAGTCACCGGATGTTGTAAAATGATATTTAGACATGATGTGGAGATATTAGGTCCGTTGTACAAATATGCGTTATATTTAAAAAGTTAGTGATATTCCCTTCAATATCCAAGAAATATGTTAACACCAGTTTGCACTGGGTACAAAAAGATTGTCATTGTGTATCAATATTTATTTAAACAAAAGGAAAGTGTAGGCGATGTTTGTATTCCGAAGATTTTATCCATTAATAATATTTTAGGAATGATGTAAATATTTGTCATGAAATAACCAGATTTATTATATTAGACACATGCAAACATTCTAAGGAATATACTTACATTTGTGTTTGTCAAAATGTTTTTGTTGAATGGCCAAATGCGCTTAAGTCTGCGAAGAAATTTAAAAAAAAAAAAAGATAAATAGATGAAAGAAAACAAAACTTAGACGAAAATAATCTTTCCGAATTTTGATTTATCAAAAGTTCGAGGTTTTGATATTATAGCTTTACTTATATGCATTCTAAAGTGTTGTAAGCGTTTACCTTTATTCTGAGTACGGATGCACTTAACCATTTAATATATGTTTCATATGTATTTTGCGTACGGGGCAAGCCGAACAAAGAAAAACTGATATTTCAGGGCTACATAATAATGGAAAAGAGTTTGTAGAATCTAGCACAAAAACGGCACATCGTACTTATCAAAAGATAAACAGAGTAAAGACATTTTTACCAAATACAAGCGCCATTTTTATCAGTTATGACGGGTGGGATTTTTCCACTCAACCCTTTCAAATCCACATTCGCTTAATTGATGTATACGGCTAAAAATATTATTGTTCGTTTCAGTAGACATATCTAAATGACTTTGGCTGAGAAAAATAATATTATTGAATGTATTACTATAAATATAGCAATGAGACAATGGCGTCGCAGCAGACATTTTGGTCCAATGCTACTGGGATACATTTGTCACAGGAGACCACGATAACCAGATGTCGGTTCAAAGAATTGTTCTAACAAATAAAAGTGCCGCCTAGAATAGTTATGACGAAGGTGATTTTTCAAGATATTGAGCATGTAGTTTAAAAGAATTGCTCATTGTGGATTCTTTTGACGGAGACTGGGGAAAAGCTATTTGAAGAATCATACACACAAAGGCCATGTCGAAGATGACACAAAGAAGATAAACAAAGAATGAAGGTTCGATTTACCAAATGCAAGTGTCCTTTGGAAAAGTTATGCCGGAGGGGATTTTTCAAGATATTAAGCATGTAGTGTCAAAGAATTGGTCATCGTGGATGTTTTCTGAGGGAGCATGAGGGAAAGCTGTTTGAAGAATCTAACACACAAAGTCCACGTCGCAGATAACAGAAGATAAACAAAGAATGAGGGTTCTATGTACCAAATACAAGTGCCCTTTGGAAAAGTTATGACGGAGGGGATTTTTCAAATTAAACATGCATGTCGGCTGTACGAAATGGTCACTATTGCTGATTTTTTTTCTGACACATAATGACTGTAAAGAGTTTGGAATCTAACAAACAATGATTACATCACATGACAGAAGCAGAGATCAAAACATTTTTCTGCCAAATGCTAGTGCCGCCTGGAATAGTTGTGACGGAGGTGATTTTTCAACATTTTAAGTAAGTCGTTTCAAAGAATTGATAACTGTCGATGTTCTCAGACACATGAAGAAAAGCTTTTTCGAGAATTTAACACACTGCGCTTTGCACGTCAAAGATAACAGATCAGAGATAAATAAAGAATAAAGATTTGTTTTTACCAAATGAAAGTGCTCCTCCTAGAATAGTTATCACGGAGGAGATTTTTCAAGTTAAATATGTATGACAGGTCAAAGAATTGGTCACTGTTCGTGTGTTTTTCTGACATAACATGATTGAAAAGGGTTTGGAATCTAACACATAATGGGTACATCAAAGATAACAGAAGCGCAGATAAATAAAGAGTAAAGATTTTTTTACCAAATGCAATTGCCCCCACCCTGAAATAGTTATCACAGAGGGTTTTTTTCAACTTAAATATGTATGACGGGTCAAAGAATCGGTCACTGTTCGTGTTTGTTTTTTCTGACATAACATGATTGAAAAGGGTTTGGAGAAGAATTGGAATCTAACAGAAGCAGAGATAAATAAAGATTAAAGACATATTTTACCAAATACTAGTGCCGCCTGGAATATTTATGTAGGACTGCATTTTTCAAACTGAATAAGCCTGTCGGTTCAAAGAATTTGTCAAATTGGATGTTTTCTGATGTAGCATGAGGAAAAAGGCTTTTGAGTATTTAACACACCAAGTGCTCATCGAAGTTATCAAAAGTATAGATAAACAAAGAATAAAGATTTTGGTACTAAGCGTCGTTTAAAGTAGTTATGGTGGATGGGATTTTTCAAATTAAATAATCGTGTCGGTTTAAAGAATTGGTCACAGTGGATGTTTTCTGACGATAGATCATTCTTTGATCAATATATTCGTCCCACCGACAAAATTATTTTAAAAAAATAAGCGTGCCATAACAAATAAAGTTCGAGCTATGGGACTTGTATCTAGAGAAATAATTTAATCTTTCCAGCAGTTGTATTCGATATACAATGATCTTATTTTTTATGTGCTGGCTTTTGTTCAGGACCTGGGCGATCATGGCTCTTCACATCTTCTTAACCTTCATAACCCTAAGCAAATGTTGTCTTTTTTTAGTAACCTTCCATTCCCAGTTCTGCTTTTGAGGTAGATTACTATCTCTTTCTTTTGTCTCACTTGGCTTCCATATGTCCTGTGTGTGTCAAATTCTCCAAGGATTCTTTTCTCATTATAGCTTACGGCCACATCACGTTGAAACACCGACTCCCATACGATCACCGAAGTTAAGCAACGTCTATCTTGGTCAGTACCTAGATGAGTGACCGCTTGGAAATACCAGATGCTGCAAGCTTGTATTTTTGTGTGTTGTAATGAATAACAGTACGAAATTATTGAGTTCCAATTGCTGTTCGTTTTACTTACGCGCCAATAGCCTTGGGAGAGATATGGATACCATCTCTTCTGTATGGATTAATTAATAAGATTTGTGTCACGATAATCATTATTAACTGAAAGCAAAGAAAATAAATTTAAAATCTTTAATTCTATGCAGCCTAACAAAACTAACCAATCAAGTCATTTCTCTATCTGTCTATATTTCAGAGATTAGGTATTGTAATTATTTACACGATTTACATTCTTCCGACTGTTGTCCATATGTCCGTTGTCATATTCACGGCTATTGTACGCTCCGGCCTTCTTCAGCTGATTGGAATTTCGAACCGAACTCTTTATTTCGTTGACCGGGGTAGATTGTTCTAATTCTAATCCGGTGGACGAAATAAAGTGTTCGGTTCTAAATTCCAGTCTCCTAAAGAAGGCAGAAGCGTACAACAGCCGAAAGGTCGTGAATATGGCAACGAACATGCGGACAACAGTCCAAAAAATGAAATAGTGTAAACAAATCTTTTCTCATTATGTGTCCTAGAATTTTTATATTTCTATAAGGTTGAGAACTGGTTAATTCTCAGGAGGAATGATTTTGATATTTCCATTGTATGGGAATTAAATTTAGTTTTAATTCCAATGTAATACAGAATGCGATGGATAATTTGTCGTCTAAATTACGTAAAAATTAAAATAACACTGACATCACATTTTAACAGATATTCTTACCAAAATTACACAAACATATCTGGAAATACTACAGAGTAAATTTATTCAATAAAATCACAATTGGCTTCAACTGCAGACTCCCTACGATTTCTGAATATCCTGCAACATTTCTGGACGAACTCCTTGATCAAGTTGGTGAATGCTACCATAATCATTGGCTTTGGTTCATCTTTTGTGTTACAATTAGTTGTGTTGGTCTCTCGTTCAACAGTACCCCACATATAATAATCAAAGGGGTTGTAGTCTGGGGAGTTAAGTGGCCAGATTGTCTGACAGCCATAACTGTATTCTCCAGCTTTTGTGGCATGGTGCAGAGTCCGGTTGCCAGACATAGGGTCTTCTAGTAGCAACTCACTTGACCCAGGGCAGCACTACCTTCTCAAAGCACTTGATATAGAACCAGGTGTTGAGTTTGATGACCTGTGGGAAGATGGATGTAGGCATAGCGTCACCATCACTAATGATCACCACTAGACTCATCCAACTCATTCCGAATTCTCTGCACTGATTTCAGATTCACAGCCAGACACTCTGAAATTTTCGTATTGGATCGTCGACAAAATCAAAATAAACAAGACGAATGCGCGATGTTAAGAATATAATATAGTGATAATTTACCCATCGCTCCTTGTAGATTAAATTCTATATTTCCAATAAGCAAAACATCTTTCTGCATGTGTTTAAATTGATTGGAAAGATTATTTTTTATTATATTGACAATTCTGTCACTCAACATAATTCATTTTACTAGGCCAAACTTTCAAAAATAAAATATTCTTTTCTGAATATTTATATGGGTATAATTAACTGATTTAATTGATGTGAAATTAAATAAATATTACTGATTTTTCTTTGGAAGAAATGTATTTCTCTCTCTTTGAGAACATTGTTTAGCATTCACTTCCATATTGAAAGACTGATATTACGTAACGGTTCAGTACTCTTTGTTTTAAACGAAATCTTTCGGTTTCTTAATACTCTGCTTAGCTTTTGGAATACATCTTTGACTATTCTCTTCTCTCCTCTACTAAAACACTTTCCAGATATTTAAACTGTTGTACATGTTTGATTTTGGTATCTCCAATTTATAATTTGTATGTTGGTCTACTCCTTCTGATAAGAACTTTGCATTCCGTTTACTTATGATTTAACAATATGCAGTCAGCTAAGGTTATCAGAAACTTACAAGTCTCGATTTGAAGATTGTCACTTGCCAATAGAAACAAAAAGAAAAGTAACGATTTTATTTAAGTTCCTTTTCTGTTGACCCTGAATTAACGAATGTTCAATTAGCGTGACGATGCGGGGTTTTCTTGTAAAAGGAGATTCTTAGCCTTTTAACAAACCCGCTGCTGAAATTGTTACAAAATCATTCTCTCTCAGTCACTCTATCTCACTGATATAGTGATTTTCTAAGCCCGGCTTAGATGTGGCACAATGCCGAAAGTATGGGGCACCCAGTGAAGATCGAACTCACTACTCAGTCGTAACTGGTCTAGCAAGACAAGCTTTCTAACCATTACACCACGTCGCCCTTTCACTGATATATATTTACCACGAAAGACAGTAAATGCAAGCGACATTCCTGGGCTAATTTAATTTTAGTGTGTGAAAGGCCAATTTTAGAATATTAGTCCCAAGATGCAGTGTCTTACGGAATAAAGAGGTGATTACAAAACACCCTCTCAAACCGCTACAATGATCACCAGTCGTAGAAAGAAATCTGTGGTAGAAACATGAAGCTATTGCCTCGTACCCAACTACTTAAGACACAGTGATAATGTTACATTAAAACCCTTACTATGTTAAGACTGTTGCTGATTTTACAACTTTTTAAAGTATCACTGATAACAGAACCGAGAGCTATCTTTCTATTTTTCTTTTCTTGAACCGAAAAAAAAAATTGCTGAATCGATTCAAAAATCATTTGAGACAAACAATGTAGAAGAGTTTGGTTCATTTCACCAGGTAAAGTGAGCGAAATCTCCCTTGAGAAGACAAATCTCCACTTGAGTTAATTATAGATCAAGTCGATGCACTATTTAAGTTTTTTCATGTAATTTATTGATCGAAAAAGTTTAAACCACGAAAGAAGATTAGAAAAAGAAAGAAAAAAAAAATGAATATAACGTACGGAACAAAAAAAATGAAAAAAAAAATTATTATTGTCTTTCTTTTTTAACAATGATGACTGATTATTTAAAATGTTATATCTCCAAAACGATTTTTTTAGCATAAAGGTGGTGTATACGATTTTGTCTCATTCTCTTATTTTGTTTTCTCTACATACGCAGTTAAATTAAAAGTAAATTGTACGTTATGGTACTAAATTAAATTATCTTAATTAATTAAACATGAATTTGACGTTTCCTGTTACAGAGATTTCAGGGAATGTCTTCTATAAACTGCTTCTACTTTTGAATCTACTCCTCTTCCTTCTTTTTTCCGCCACCTACTCCCCCTCCCCCTTCTTGTTCTTCTTTGTGGATGTTCGGGGGGAGGGGGTCTAAAGGATGGTGTCTCTAAATGACAAGTCAGTGAGCCAAGTCCCAACTCCGGGTGCGTTACATTCGCTTACGCGCAAATATGAATCCATCTCCTCCCCAAGCTATGGGTTAAATTGTCCGAGTTGGAAAAATCGGTTTCATTCTAAAAAAATTCTTAATGTGTTATTCACTCGAAGATAATTATTATTCTTACAATGCAAATGATATTTCAGCTTTAAATAACCCACATTAGTTGATAAACCGTAAAAATCAATTTTCTTCTTTTTCGTCAGGATATAGGAAATCATGCACAACATCCTATAGTTTTTTAATTCTAAGTCCTTACGATTCATTTACACAATTTTTTTCAGGTTACTCACTGTTTCTCTATGTGACTCTTGATTCCAATATATCCTGTGAGTGCCTTATTCTTGAAGCCACCTTTTCTCACTCTGTGTCTCAGAAATTGAAACTATTTCTTTCCTGTTAATCGATAAACCTTCGGGGTGTAAGTTCTCTACATATAGATATGACTGGCAAAATTAGACGCAAACGTTGGTCAATCTAGCAATTTTTTTTCCTGGAAGAATTATTGGTTAGTGTGGGTTAATAATAACATCAGCGATCTTGGATGATAAACCAAATGACATCTACAGTTACGAGTGGATTCCGGAAAGACTAAAATCTATAAATGTATTGCTATTATTTAATGAAAGATTGTAATAGACCGAACTCAGATAGAATATACTTTTAGAGAGCCATTTTTAATGTGCCATACTTTCAGGATACATGGTTAATTTTGATAACTTATAAATGAAAGATACATGCCCGACACTAAATTGCATTTTATTAAGCGTCCTTCAGAAAATTTCCACACATGCTGCAAACAGGATTGTATGAATGCTAAAAGAGAAGCCAATGATTATTTTTAAAGTGTTGATACATTTTCAGAAATTAGGATCAAACGTTATATCTGATATGAAGACACTCCGCTATTATGGCTTGAAATCTTGAGAAATCCTATGTTGAAGTTTGCTTAGAAAAATTATTTAAATCAAATTGCTTAAGTAAGAATATTCTTTGGTTTGATCAAGTAAATTGGTTTCTATTAAGAGACATTTTATAAATCTATGTATATGATCTCGCAAAATGCAACGTTGGTGGAGATGAGACTTTTTTGATGCAGTTACAACTTCGCCGGGCTGGTGATGTTGAGAGAATGAATGACGCCAGAATACCTGAGATCCTCATGTATAGTCAGCTTGAAAGTGGACAAAGGACTGTTGGACGGCAGTGGCAAATGTACAAAGACAAACTGAAGAATAAAAACTCATCTCGCAATGTCCCTCAAACTAAATTCGAGTGACTTGCCTTGGAAAGAAATAACTGGTGATATCTGTGCCAGACATTTCGAAATCGGTCGTATTGTCCAGATAGGAGGCGAAAGACAATGGCGATAAAGCGTTTGCAAATATTCCTGTTGCTATCTCCCGAGATTCTCGTCGTTGCTCGATATGTGAATGCAAGGTCACTACCAGGACTGAAGTGCCACATACAACAAAAATATAATAACTGAATGAAGTTGTCGGATCCTCATACGTCGAATTCAATTGAGAGTCATATATATATATATATATATATATATATATATATATATATATATATATATAAGTGAACATAGAAGTCAACACTTAGAGGCGACAGTCTGTTTCATGTTATATGCAATCATCCGGCACACGTGGCCTGAT